GTGAGGGAGCTCCAGAGGGGCTGCGGGGGAAGCTGAGGGGGATTGCTGGCACCAGGGTGTTAAAGCTGTGAGGGAGCTCCAGAGGGGCTGCAGGGGAAGCTGAGGACGCTTACCTCCCCAGCCTGGTCGCTCCCTGCAGCTTTCTCACGAGACGCAGCGGTGGGGCCAGCAATGGTCCTGCTCCCCGCGACCTGAAGGAATGGCCTGAATTTGTGTCTGGAAGGGTTAGGGTGGATATCAGGGAAAGGTTCTTCTCCCAGAGGCTGGTGGGGTGCTGGAAAAGGCTCCCCAGAGAATGGTCACAGCACCATCCTGACGGAGCTCAGAAAGGCTTTGGACAGTGCGCCCAGGGATGCACAGGGTGAGATTGTTGGGGTGTCTGTGCAGGGCCAGCAGTTGAACTGGATGATCCTTGGGGGTCCCTTCCAGCTCAGGATATTTTGTGATTCTGTACTTCAGCGTTTTTGGGAGGACAGCATGTTCTATTATGCTGTCTTGACCCATTCTGTATCTGTTACAAACAAAAGTCATCCAGAGTGTTCTCGCTTTAGAGTCAACATCTGCCTTGAAATAGGATCTGGATCTGGTGTGGTTTCAACATTTCTGGCTTCTTCCATCCTTGGACCCAGTGCACTGTACATGTAAGTATAACAGCATCTAAACTGTTGCATGCAATAATAAAGGATGTTTGGCCCAGGATGCTTAGCTCTCTCATACATATTTATAATTTTCACATTTTAAAAACTATTATTTTCTCAATTCTATAGATACATAAATCAAAGGAGAGAGCCTGTTGAGTATTTCTGAGCTTATGATGCAGCCTGAATTATTTACTTCAAGTTGAATAACAAATGAGTAGTGCTATGACTAGAAATCCATTTTCCCATTTCCTAGACACATTACTAAGCCTACACTTGTGTTTGCTGGGTTTAATCCTTGTGGGTTCCTTTTAATTCAGAATATTTTGTGATTCTGTAAACTAGCTTGTGGTTCATGGGGTTAAACTTCCAGGTACAGTAGCCTATAACTTATGCTTTGTAATATTTCCCTTTCAGATGCACAGATATCAATCCCATGGCAGCTTACTGTACCCAGGAGACAGCTCTCCTTAACAATGTTCACCTGCAGCCTGTCATCACTGACTTGGTAAGAGGGAGGTTTCAATAGTATCTCCTTCATAGTTTGTGTAATTTTTTAATACTTACTGCAGATCATGGAGTCATGCAATAGCTAGGGTTGGAAGGGACTTCTGAACATCACCCACTGCCAAAAAAACCCCAACCAACTACTCAAGCTCTAAAATTCAAAATTAAACTCTAAGAATTCATTGTATTTATTAAATAAATCTGTAGATACAGTTTGGAAAGGCTGGACAAAGAATTCTATAGTGGCCTGAGATTATCATAGCCCTTTGTCTAAAGTTATGCAGTTCTTCATTCTCAACCTTTTCTGATTTAATTAGAACTTTTTTACTGTTGTTACCTTTAGTTTCTTACAAAATTTGATATGGAGAAAAGCTAATTTTTCTCATCTCTTTAACCCTTTTATATGTTTATAAAAGATGATGTAGGCAGGCCACAATAAATGGGATTTAAAATGGCTGAGGAACTGTACTATGTAACTGTATTTTTACGAAACATTTGCATTATTCATGTTCCCAAAAAGAAACCCCACACAATCATCAACTTCACCTACAGGTCAAAGGATTATCCCCAAGATTAAATGGGAAGGTTGATCTACTGCTGTTTAACCCACCATATGTGGTAACACCTTCTGAAGAGGTAGGAAAGTTTTCAAAAACACAGTAAAAATAGTAATGCTACTGTCTGTTGTTGTGACAATTCTGTCATTCTGTATTATGACAATCTTTGCTTTCCTTCTTCCTAGGTGAAAAGCTGTGGAATAGAGGCATCCTGGGCTGGGGGCAAACAGGGGAGAGAAGTAATGGATAGGGTTTTCCCATTAGTACCAGACCTGCTCTCACCAGGAGGATTATTCTACTTGGTCACAATTAAAGAAAATAATCCAGGTGATCACTGTCCTTTAACATTCCAATGGGCAAACCAGGTTTATATGGTAGAAATCAAAATGCTGATCACAGCTAGACCAAAAATGCAAGCAAATGTATCAAAACTAAGAACTCCCCAGGCTAGTTTGGAAAGTGAAAGTGTGTGGGACCCCAGTGGGTCTGCAGGAGTTCAGTTCCAGGTCTGAAAGGTGGATTAATTAATCTGAATTAATTAATGATGCCAGGCCAGTTCTTTCTTATGGAAGAGAATGGTGGTGTTAACCAAAAAGCTTAGTGGGAAATGTGATGTCTTTCATTTTACAAGTGCAGAGAAAAGATTTGGACTTACTCCTTCTGATCTAATGCTTCATGGCCACAAATGGTCATTTAATGTCAAGATTATTTTTCACACCTGATTTATTAGGCAGCTTTTCTGAGAAGATGCTACAAATTTCACTTCCTCCTAAGTTTAGGAGGATTCATACATTAGAATTCAGACAGAATTCTAGAAAAATACTGAACCTCAGTTTGTAACTTGTGAGCTTTATTTGTGCTTGGTGGGAGATGATTTTGCATAAAAGTTTTTGTCTGAAAGAGTAGGAGGACAGTTTTTAAACTTTGCTTTACAGCTTGACAGATATTTTAGAACTATCTTCTATAACCAATTTCAACTCATTTGTAAACACTGCACTTTCCATTGCAGATGAAATTCTGGAAATTATGAAGAAAAGTGGCTTAAAAGGCACACAAGTACTTTCCAGGCAAGCAGGACAAGAGATGCTGACAATCCTCAGATTTAGGAAATCTTGATAACGTCTCTTCACCTGACAGGTAGTAAGCATGAAGAAAATTGAACACAGAGCTGTCAGTTGGTAAACACCGAAGTGAATGCAATCTGCCCTCTGTTAATGGCAGGAACTTACTCATACAAGCAAAACATCAAGAAAGATATGAACCCAAGACCTGAACTAGAGAACATATTATCAGTGGGTTCATTATATGATCTAATATCCTTTGACATAACCAATGTCACACACCAGAGAGTCTCACTTCTACAAGCCAAGCACACATATCACTTTTAATTTGTAGTCTTCAGTTGTCATTGGTCAGGACCAGGATCATTGTACATCATCAGCACTCACAACAAACTGCAAGTTTACAAGCAGCAGTGTTAAGGTGTCCTGTTGGCTTAAAAAGTTCTTTCCTCTCCCAGGATCAGCGTTCTCAGCACGGATCACTTTGGCCTTGATTAAGGAACAGTCTTCCACATCCCTCTGACCTTCAGAGAAGAAGAAAGAGCCTGGTTAAAATACACAGATGCTCAGAGTTCACCACAAAAGCATTGGAGGAAGTTCAGATCAGTGCATAGATGGATATACAGTGGCACTTTATACAATGGAAAATGTGAAGGCAGAGTTAGGAGTTGTTTCACTTGTTCTCACATAGCTGTCAAATATTTTGCTGCTGTGCTACTCAGGGTACTGAGCTTCTCATCTCTTCCAACATATGAAGATGTTCCAGCAGCAGCTAAGGAGGAATCTCTAATTCTTCAATCCCTTGTAATGAGCACAACAGTTCTGCAGTTCATTAAACACCTTCCATGAACTTCAGAGATGGCTTCTCAAGGAATGATGGAAAATTTTATTTTAGTAATTGTATGTATTTATATTGCCATTGGGAATTTTTGAGGAATGCAACTTTGCAAATAGAAATTGAATTTTAGTAGTTTTCACTTTCCCCCCCCCAGTTTAAAGAAACACTAGTGTAGTTTTTCTGGTGTATACTGGAGGGTTTTCTGAGGCTCTAATAACTTTGTCTGTGGACACAAAGCTTAAATAAGTTGGCTTCAATTCCCAGCTTACTTTTGACCAAAATAAAAACCAAACAAGCTTAGAAGGAATAAGATGGAATTACATTTAAAAAAAAAAATTATTTCCATCATGGTTCTGTAGAGACTGACATGCAAAAATTTTGTTTGTGTAATGCTCCTATAAACATTATTTTGATATTTGTGGTAATTTGTGTGATTTTAGCAGTGCTTTATCACAGGAGGATACTGGGCATAGTATAGTCCTCACATCAGTCCAAATTAGCAGAGCCTCTTCCTCAAAAACTGTGACCATTCAAAGATGAAAGTGGGCTGGGTATTAGATGTGGTTAAGCTAAATAATTGCAGATACACTGTCAAATGAAGGATAATTTGACTGCCTACTGGATCTAGAGCTAGTAGGATTTTCAGATTTCAAGCTCAGGGTTGAATGCTACCAAAAAAATTCGCCATGGTTCAAAAGTAGTTTGTCCTCAGGTGCTGGAGTTCTTATCTAGTCAGTTACTGAATATTTCTCAGTTATTATCATCCTCTTCAGTCAAATTAGGAGGGTCTGCTATAGTAATAAAATAAGACCCATTATTTCCAGGGTGCACTGAGCACTGCTTTGGTTTCTGTTCTCCACCTGTAATGTTTAATAGCTACAGACAGGTTTAATTATGAGGCCACATCATATTGTAAACTTGACAATTGCTCTGAGCCAACGTTACCTGAAGAATCTACAGGAATATTCTTTTTTTATCAACGTAACTGGAGAAATCTTTATTGTCCGGGCATTGGAAAGAGAAGGTGATCCTAAGGGTTTAAAAAACATCTCCCCTTCTCTGGGTCCTGGCTCCCTTCATAGACTAATGAACAAAGCTGCAGATTTTTTTGTTTCTTGAAAGATGCTCCTGCAGGTGAGGATTTGATTTTACAAGAAGCAAGATAGCAGAGAGCAGGGATGCAAAGCAGGATTTTAAACACTAAGAAGTTGAAAATATTCACTGTTCACACAACAGTCTGCACTGTAAGGGATGATTTTTTTCTGCTGCTTGTTCTCAGCATCTTCATAAGGACAAATAATTCAGATTTTGTCTGTTCCTTTCTCAGCATGTCTTTGGGATTTTTTTTTTTTCATAAGTATTTTTAAGACATTGAAGCACTTACCTGAACCTTCCCAAAAACTTTTGCCTGTGCAAAATTTCTTCATAAACTTAGAACTAAATCGAAGGTAAACAGGAATTTCATATATAGCAATTGTCACCTCTGCTTATGATGGAAATGCTTACCAAAGCCTAAATTACCAGGATTTTTTCCCTAGATTAATATTTTGGAGAAAATAATGGAACAACTTTCTGAAATGTTGTGTTTGGATTTCTTTTTTCTATCAAAAATGTTGTGTTTGATTGGAGTGTATGATTATCAGAAGAATCCTACTGATGTTTGTGAGGAACTGAAAAAGCCTGACAAGAATTCCAATCCAGTGTAAATGGAAAATATTTATGGAAGAAAACTCCTTGAGTGGAACTGCACACACAGCAGGGCTCCACTGGAGCGAAAACACTCCTACTACAAATTGCATTTTTTTGCACTGAAGACACCTGGTGGTTGCATCCATAGCCAGCTCTGAGAGAAAAGTTGGTTATTCAGGGAAGCTTTTCTCTTGATGAGACATAATTACCACCTTGAGCCATTCTATTTTTATGATATTATTAAGATATAAATGAGATCTTTTCGATCTCCAAATGGTAATTGAGATTTCTAAATTTTGTTTTTTTAACTCAGTCCATGGACTTGAGACACTGCAAGAGTATAGTTTTGCTTTAAATGCATGTTTCAAGGGACAGTAAATGCTAAATAAATATAAAATAAGTATTTGTTAAAGTAAGGACTGAGAGTCCTAATCCTAAACTGTATAATTAGGAAAGGGAGATGGCAGAAAAAGATGTCACCAGATGAGCACTGATTTGCACTGTCTGTAGTAACTCATTAACTTAATAATTTAAAAACTCTCATTCAGTGCAATTGAATTCAAAGAACTTAATCTATTTAAACACAACTAGCATAGTTCTCGGTATTAGATATGATTATTTTGGAGGAAAAAGCTCCAAAAACATGGGATGAAATTCAGACCTGAGGACTGCTATAAATAGAAACTTTCTTTACCTGATTCAGTCCCCTTTGTCACTGCTGTTGCTATTTTACTGAATGCAAGTGAAAAGAAAATCCCAACCATAATCTATGCAATGTTCTTTCTGTCCCACTTCAGTTTTTTCTTCTCACAAGACCAATGTTCTATTTTGGGGCCGCATTTTCCTCTTTGCAGGAAACCACAGAGTGACACACAACGATCCAAGAGTGGGCTCCAGGAAGTCTGCTGAAAATTTTAACACTGTGTAAAGGAGGTTTTAGTGCCTTAAAGGAACAGCAGTGTTCCAGTGTCCCATCAGCTCCTTGCCTGTCACTGGTGATTACAGAGCTCAGGATTTGCTGCTGCACCAGCCAAGGTGGCCCCTGCAGCTTTACTCCTGTAATTCCCTATAAGAGGAGGGGTCAGCTCCTTCATTTTGATGGAACTCCTTCACAACATGAGAATCTTTGCCTCTCCCTTTTCATTCAGCAGTTTCAGTTTCAGGAGGTGAACTGAGCCTTCACACTTCTTGAGCCAAGTCCTGAATTGTTGGCTGAGCTTGGGTGCTCTCACAAGGAGGTTCAGTTCACTGTGTCCAGAGCTGGTTAAAGCTCCACTTGGGGGTTTCTTGTTGGATTTGTTCTGAGGTAATGACAGGCTTCAGAAATAAGGGAAGGGAGGAAGCATTTAAAGCTAATTATAGAAGAATTAAGGTGAGAAGATGTCAGTTACTGCAGTGAAATCAAATGCTGAATTGGAGCTATTTTGTACACTGAGGACAGGTTAAAAAAAACCACTTGAGGAAAACCAATATACAAACCCCTCCTAATGAGCTCTGAAATCCCTAAATACTTTTCTCCCAGCTCTGAACAGAACTACTGAACAGTATTTTCAGCTGAGCTGCAGTAGCTCTCTGTATTCCAACTCTCATCCTGCACTTTCTGCTTCTACCTGAGATGTGCTTCTAGATTTGAAAGTGGTGGCCACACAAGCCACAGATTCCAAACCCCTTGTAAAAAAAGTGGTGGGATAAGGAAAAAAAAAAAGCAGAACTGTCAGAGATTGTCTCTCCTTCAGCCTATGCAAATAACAAATGTCAGACCTAATCATCAGTATCACTGTGGCCTGAAAGCTGTGTGTACTTGATCCTACTGCATCCTGGATATGGATTGAACTACCTTGATTCAGTTAAAAAGGTAAAATGGTACCATCAGAATTTAGCATGGCCTAATTACTGAACTTTAAATATTTGCTTCACCCTGTTCTGCATCAGCTTCCACAGAAATCCTGGCTGGTACATTTATTTTGCAAGTGTGCATGTGCTGTTTCACACGAATTGTCCACACAAGATAATTTTACAAAGGGTATGTTTATTTCTATTCTGCTTTTCCATTTCACAACAGAAAGCACTTGATCTTAATGTGCTGTGACCTGGAAACTACTGAAAATGAGAAAATAATAGTTCATAAATTCATCAGTCGAGAGGTTGCCTGAATTTATCATTGATCATCCTGAGATGTCAAGACAGGTCAGAATTCAGGAAAAGAAATGTGTAAACAAACAAACCCACACTTGGTGCTAATTTTTGATGGGTTGATGTTATTTGCTCAATTTTCATGAGGTCCCCAAGGGAGAGGGATCAAACTGTGACCCTTTTGGATTCTTCCATATTGCAGAAGCCCTTCCTGAAAAGATCTGAGGCCTTGGGTAGCTACAAGATCCTGTACTTACAAATGGTTTACTGCAGTGTCAAAATGCACAACAATCTTTCCACCTGGTATTCACTTGGAGCAGAAGGCATTATTAGGGAATTTCTGTCACCATGAAGAAAATCAGGAATTGACAGGAAACAGGTTTTGTATAACCAGTCCTGAAACAGACTTCAGTGTCATTGCAGAGGTAAATCAACCAAATGCTTCAATATCTGATGTTACTTTAAGCTACAGCAGCAGCTCCTTAAATTTTCCTGTCCCCATCCATTTCTTACACCACTCTATGGGAACTACCACAGGTTCTTAATCCACTTGATTGGTAAAATAAGAGATTATGCATAAATTCTATAAAAAAGGAATACCTTTATTTCTTTTTTAAAGAGACCTTTTTTTCATTACCAAGTGAAAACTTTACAATGTAAAGTATTTCTCTTCAGTATTGTTTTAATATAAAAATGTAAATCACTTACTCTGGTCTTACTGTTCCTACAGGAAGTCTTATGGCACTGCAGGACCCAGGTATCTTCAGCCTCACTCTAGTATCTAATCATAAGTTCATGACTTGTTTTTTTAAAACCATTTCTGCGGCCACTCATCATCAACAAAACATCCCTACCATCAAAACAAAAATAAAGCATCTTCATTAGACCAAAAAAGACTAAACTCTTAACAGCACTATTACAGTGAGAAACTTTGTTAAAATAAAAATATTTTGAAAGTTAGACACGACTTTAAAATTGTACAAAGACAACAAGCACTCAAATTACACGGAGTAAGTAGCAGTCAGTACAATGTGAATGCAACAGTAGTGAGCCTTGCCTCTTTTTATATGTAAATATAAATAGAGATTTTCCTCACCAAACTTCCAGCTTTTTTTTTTTTTTTTCCTTTTTCCTGAAAATCAGTTCATTATTCTGCAAAACCCAACAGGGAGCATCTCACTCTTCAGTTCAACAGAATTACTAAAGTGGGCTCTGGCTAAAGCCAGCCCTTCTATCATAAGAATATCCCATACTGTTCAGAACTAGTTTCTCTCTCCACTGAAAATCAATTCCCTTTTATTATGCTGAATGCTTCACCTTCCCGTGGGACCTGCCAATCGACAGGCTTCAAAATGATTAAACATTTTGAAGTTTGCTCCTGCTTTTTCAAGAACCTGCAAGCTGAAACTAGCATGGTATGTCTGTGTAACGAGTCACACAACAGAGAATGCTCCTGCTTGTATTTTACTCTTTGCAAGTGTTGTTTCAAGAAAAATGCTTGGGAGTAATTTTAGCTAATTTGGCTAAATTAGATTAAGTATTGGTCAGAGAAGAAAATATTTCTTGTTTTTTTCCTATTACCTTTAGAGTTCAAATATATTCCTAAAACCACATGGCAGAAAGCTCCCTTAGAGCTTGTCCTTACAATTGGATGTAAAGTGAAAAACTGACACTATTACCACCCTCCCTTTACTTCTGAGAGTTTTCTTCTGTACAGGAAATACATTCTTGCACAAGAAATTAATCCCCTATGGTGGCTGTTCAGACAACTCCATCACAGCCTCAAAACTAGGATTTAGTTATTCTTTAGGTTTAGATTGATGAGAAAACTTCTGCTGTAAATCTTCCCTGAGATCAACAGCAATTAAAAGAAAGTTATGTTTTATCCAACTGCAGCCATACTGGCAAAATTATGTTCTGAATTTGAGTGTTTGCAGGACTCTGTTTCATGACAGAATGCAACCACTTGCTCATACTTTCTTTAAAAGTGTCTTGATGATTTGGGTTAAGTTCATGATTTTAAACTTATTCATTCTTTCTAGACTACCTGGAAGTGCTTTATTTTTCATAGCTTTACTCCATTACTAATGTTTGTTTCAATGGATCAATGTCCTGATTTTTAAAAAAGCCTGAGAAATACTGTGGCTTTATTTTTAAATGAAAATATACTATTAAGACAGCAATGTCCTGAAAATTGAGTAAATTACACTTGAACATTGTTTCATTTTAATGTAAAACTGTAAATTTGAAAGCAACTTGATTTTTTTTCTTTTTTCAATTATTCAGGAGCCTCTTTAATGTTGCCATGAAGCATTTCAAAATGTCTGTCAGTCAAAGCATTTCAAAATGTCTGTCAGTCAAGGGAAGAACAAACAGTATCTATTCATATATAAAATTGTTACAGGGTGCAACCTGAAAAATCCCATGTTAGCAAAAACTGAGTGAACTAGCCAAAATTCCTACCTTTTGATCATCCCACTTCTCTAGCTGCTTTTGTTTTCTCAATATCCCATTATTCTCCATTTGCTTCAATTCTAAGCTAGCATTGCTGAGGTTTCAAGAAAGATTAAAAATTAAAGCAAGGATGTTGTTTCACTGTAAGGAAAAAGCAGCTGTGAGAAAATACTTTCAGTTCTTGTCAGGACAGAAAAGGCTATTGGCAGTTACCTTTCACTTGGCTTCAGAAGATTTATTAAACAGTTCTAGCCCAAGGCAGTTAAGGATTTTAAGCTAAACCCAAGCTTGTGCAATAAAAAATTATATTTAGGAAGGCATATTTTGATCTCTAGGATTAGATTAAAAAGTTGCTACTGTTTTTTCTGTCTCAAGTCCTAGACCAGCAGTGGGCTGAGTACCCCTGGATTGATGCACATAGGTAAGAAACCTTCTGCTTTTTAACTTTGTACATTCATTCCAGCAGGTTTCATAGCAGAACATGGAACAGAAGTGCATTTCTGCAGACTAATTGCACAAAAAATTAGTCGTTACTAAGTATGTAAGTCTCAGCCAGCAAAGGAGACTGTTGGGGAAATAGCTCCAAACCCCAAACAATCTGGTTATTTTGTGTCTTTTCAGCAATTCCTTGGTATTGCTGTAAATTAACTGCTGCGAAACCCTGCTGGGGAAGGGAACCTGCACAACTGGCTCCACCCTCATGAGTTAAAGCATCTTTATGCATTCGTACCAATGGAGAGGGAGGATTCCTGTGCCCCCAGGAGATGCTTGGCACCTGTCTAAAGCCAGAGCATCTCCAGGAGATCTAGAACAGGCAGAGCTCAATTTATTCCAGCACCTTGCACAGTACTCCCTCATGTCATTCCAAACCTTTATGGAACATTTGTGTTAGGTGAACTATTTGGCATCATAGTTTGGAATAGCTTAGTAACTGTTTACTAGATTTTGGAGAGGGTATTACTGAAATTCTTCAATTTCCCATTTTGCTCTTTGCCAGTCCAACAGATATGGCCATGGCACAGAGTAAGAAATACAGCCCAGTTCTGTAATTCAATTATAAGTTCAAAGTGTATCTGCCTCCCTACCTGTGTTTACAAGTACTGAAGAGTCTTTGCAGTAAATGATTTAAAAACTATTTTAATCACTTCACCTCCTTTGACTGAAAGGCTGATGACAAGG